TGCAATAAATTCAGTAATGAACTTACACGAATTTAATATTCTATTTATCACATACCCAAAATAAGACCGTTTTAAGTGAAATAAGAGTCATTTTTTATTGACGCGCCTATAGTATAACGCTAACATTTAGCGCTTCTTTACAATATGTTTGTATAACGCTAATGACGTCACGTCAAAATATATGCACGGCCGTGCAATACCATATTTAAGGAGTCGCAAAATCGGCTGTGTGATAAAAGGAAAGAAATTACAAAAAATAGCATATAAGCTGCTAAAGGGTTAACACTCAAGTACGTCAGTATATAATTATTTTGACAATTTATTTCCCAAGCACTTAAATCATTTAGATAAAAAAAATGTTGAAACAAGTCTATGCAACTGTGAAAAAAAATCTGAAAATTGAGGAAAAGAAATTTAAGTGATAATAAGTGAATGTCTTATGTTAGGTGACAATTGCTTTGTGGCTGTGAAAATTGATAGTGGTATAATGAGGGTAATAAATTAGAAAGATAATTTAGAAAATAAAACATGAAACAAAATAAGAATACATGTATAAATATTTAAATTTTAGCAAACAAAGAAAAATTTTGTTTGATATAATTAAAAAAATTGTATTGAAATAAATTATATCAATTCATATTCTATAATCAAAATATATGTATAAATCATGCAGAAAAAAAAAAAGTGAAAGGATAAAAATGCTAAATCTGTACATTATAAATATAATATTTGAAATTTTGAAAATAAAAATAAAAGACAAACTTTTAATACTTATTCTGTAGAAATTTCCCAGAAGAGTTTCTATAACTGCAAAGACTGCTAGAATTATTATAAGATATCCAAATAAAACTCTTTTTCCTTTTCGAAATAAATTCCTCATTTTCATGAAAAGTTAAAATTTTTACTCCTTATCACTGAGTTATGACCGAAGATAAGTGAGATATTATCTCAAGACTTTTTAAGTCCTTGTCTGCAATCTAGGTAAAGTCCACGATAAGGTCTTTACTTAACTGTTATTGTTTGCTTATCTTTGTAATAAAAGGTTTAAAAAATTAAATAGTGTATTCAACATGTTACCTTTAAATTATTAGTAAAAATATTGTAACAATGAAATTATAATACATGAAATGGAAGCAGTTTGGCACACTTTAACTGTGTTAAATTACTACTATACACTGCTGTCAATAACAAGAGATGATTTAAATTTATAATCGCAATCTATTTTAAATATGTTAACCATTTACAAATATAGCTTTTGCATGTTAACATTTAATAAAAAGATTTTAAAATATTCTAAATGAACTATACTTTTATCATTAAAGGCAGAAAATTATAACGATTTTTAAAAAAAATATATTTTTTGCATTCAGATATATAAGGAGAAATTAGCCATTTTAAGTTTATGCAATGAAAACTTTAGTTTATAACAGTAATCCTTTTTTTGTCATTACAGAAAATAATTCAATATCCAAAGTATTATTAATAAGAATTGGTTAACATGAAGTATATAATCCAAATTTTACAATATCCTTTTTTTAGTGAGGCAAAATTTATTTTCCATCAATGTTTATTGTGAATAAAGTAAAAAAAAATACTGATTTTAATTATAAATCCCCTACTACTACTCCTTATTTCTTATAAAGTAAGAAATCTTTTTTTGTTCAGTTTAAGAAGTTTTTTTCAGTGAAGGAAAGAAAATCCACAGATTATATGACCTATTGTAATACCATCCCATACATCAGTTCACCTTAATATCTTGTATATGTCGGCTAAAAAGGGATTTCCATCATACTAATAGCATTAATATTGGAAGATGTAAATAATTTATGTGATGTAAGCAAGTGTTTTTTATCTGCTAATGGAAAGAGAATAGTATCCATTGATCTCTCATTAATTATCTCTTTGCACACTAAATATCTTAAATGGACTTGTCCATCTTGGAATCTGGACAAATCCATTCATCAAGTTTAGGGATAATTTTAAAATAACTATTGGCTTAATACCATAATAAGGTGATTTTTCAATTTGGACAAATCCATTCATCAATTTTAAGAAAAATATAATTATACTGTCACTTAATAGCGAAACAGTGTAGCTATATAGACCATGAACAGATGGCACAGATGTGCCGCCGATGTTGCACTGGTCACATTGTTAGAAATTAATTTGCAACCAGAAGGCTCAAAATTACAAGATTTAAGGCTGACATTGTTCACTTTATTATCTATTAATATATTATCATCGACAAGATAAAAAAATTCTCTACGACCTTGGTTTGTCCCAATTTTAGAAATATTTTATCAGTTAAATTTTTTTTACTGAGTTATAAGCTACTGATTTTTTTCTGCATAAGAGTTGCACTGGTGTTTTTGTAATAGCAACAAGCATTGAAATGTTGGCATTTTGTTTGTTAGATAATATAGAAAACAAGAACATTTCTTATTCAATGTTCAATTTGATGGTAAGCCACAGTAAATAATCTCTGGTCAAGCTGGTCTGTCTATACTATAAGATTATATCAGAAATGTGTATCGCAGTTTAGATATTCTAAAGAAATGATAAAATTTGATTTCTTAGATAATATAGAAAAACAAAAGATTTGCAAATTTTAATTCAATATGAACATAATATTATGCTCTGTATAATAGTATTGTTAAAAAATAAAGAAAGGTGAAGTTCAGTATAACTTTTCAGTAAAATTTAATCTTGATAAATAAACCAGTTGAACTTGTCATCTCACATATCTGAACCCACTATACAAGCAGTGTCAGTTTTATTTTGGCAAGTAAATAGTGAATGTCTGTATATCAAGCTTCTTTAAATTCACTCTCTAAATAACTAAAACAGACTTGTCTGAATCCATCTTTCAGTATGGAGTTAACTATTCATCATTTTTAGGGATATTATGTACTGACTGAATAGCAAACACTGTGCAGACCATGAACAGATAGCAAAGAGGGCTGAGCATAGTCTGCACTGGTTGCATGGCTAAATTCAGAATTTTAGAAAGATAACCGTATATATTGTCACCTTAGTACCGTATTATATTAAGTTAACTCTTATTTAAATTTTATAAGGAGTTAACCCGTTATTGCACTAAGCTAACAATGTATTGATACCATTTAAATAGACTTCTTAAGTTACTGCCCTTGAATAGGAATTTATTTATGAAACAGCCAGTGTATTTAGTCAATAACTTAATGGACCGCCTCCGTGGTCGAGGGGTTAGAGTCAATGACTTCTAATCCAGTTACCTCTCTGGTGTGGGTTTGATCCGCGGGAGATGCTTTGGTAGTTAAGCACGGAGGAATGTAGTCTTGTACTGGTGTAACTCTCCAGGAACGATGGTTAGGAAACTACCCGCCTATATGACTGAAATACTGTTGGAAAAAGGGGTAAAATGAAACAAACAAACAAACAAACATAATATTTCGGAAATCTTTTCCAGATTTTATATTTAATTTATGTGGTGGCAAAAATCTTTTATAGGAAGTACATGGGGGCTATACTTGAACAGCTGTTCGATTCTCAACAACATGTACAATCATGTTATAAGCAATATGGTCAAAGTTAGGGATGGTTAATATTGTATGTAATGATTTATAATGTTATGAAAATAATTCCTCAGCTTGCTCAGGTAGCAACAGGTTTTACCTATGTGATCAGTGCAAACCAAGATCAACCAGCACATCAATGCCATCTATCATGGTCTGCTCAGTTCAGTCATTACATATTTTGAAATTTTCCCTAAAAATGATAAATGGTTTTGTCCAGATTGGCAGAAGGCCAAGTCTATTTAAGCTATAATTCAGTGAGGCAAGGGATAAGACTGTTTAATGATGAGTTTTATTTGAAATAATGAATAATTAAGTGTAGGTAACACATTCTCATGTTATTAGCACTGAATTGATTCCCTGTAAGGAACACCTGTCCGTAAAGGTAATTAGAATAATTAAAACAGTTACTTGCTGAAAACATTAATGGAATTAAGATTTTTATATTGTTTTGATTATGGTAATTAGTGTGTAGTATACACTGATACTGCACTAATTACCTCTTTAATTTTTACTTCATTTCATCAATGTAACAGATGTTATGTTACAACAGAGTGTATTTTCATAAGCCAGTTATGATAAGATTAAATTAATACTTACGTGTCCGTGTTACAGGTTTGAAGTTCAATGTTCAGTCCATTAAAGTGGATTGGTCTACAATTAGCACATTGTCCATTAGTATTTCAATAATTGATAGAAACAATAAAAATGTAACATTTGGATATTCTTATAAAATATTGATGAACAAAATTATAGTTCATACAATTTCTAAGTGTTCTTGTATGAACATTTTAATATGATGAATAATAATATTATGTTCTATAACAATTCATTATTTGCTATATATGAATATATTGTGTATTGGATCATGTATCTTGCATGTCCCAACAACATTTATATATGATTCTTCCATGGTTTTTAATGTTATGTCTGATAGTAAATACTGTCAACATAATTTTAAAGTATTACAAGATTCTATTATACACCAATTCACTTTAACATTTTTGAGGATATTAAGATGTTATTATATGAAGTTGGTCCGCTAATAGTATAGAGGCTTGTCATAATACACAGATGTTCTGGCTCTATTCTGGTGGCAAGGGCTTATCCGTGACCTTCACTTCACTGTTAAACCTTTATATTGATGAAAACCTAAAGTAAATTTTACAAACAAGTAGCCTTTATTTTGAGGTTATTTTGTTCTTTTCAATCATTGAAAGGTTTGCGGAAAATGTGGCGTTTTTTAAGTATCTTAAAAAGATGTGCAAGCTGATCCTGGTCTGTACTGGTAGCATTTGTTAGAATCATCATGCCGTTAGTTAAACCTATTGCTTAATTATTACCTTGATTGTTTTAATGGTCTATAGTAACTGAATGGTGTGAAGTAGTTATAAAATTATCTTTACCAAATAGACTTATCACTAATATCACATTTTTGTTTTATAGGAGGCACAGAAATCTATGATGAATCAGGAGAAAAGGTCATCGGCAAGGTCACCAGTGGATGTCCTTCACCTACTTTAAAAAAGAACGTTGCTATGGGTTACGTGGAACCTGCCTTCTTCAAACCAGGAACTAAAGTGAAATTCCTAGTTCGCAAAAAGATGGTGGATGCAACAGTTACTAAAATGCCTTTTGTACCAACAAATTATTTTTTTGGAAAATAATCTCTTTAGAATATTTTTAATTAATAATTGTAAATAGTAAAATATTGATATTATGCGTAAACTGTTATGAACTGTGTGATTTCCATAAACATTTGGTTTGGGGAGGGGGGTTAAAGGAGTATATAAATAACGAGTCTTTTCAAGGAACAATAATGGGGGTAAGACATTACAGTTAAAGCATGTTATTTGATGCCTATTCTTGGTGGATGGGGTAAAAGTGATTTTATGCCAGATTATAGGTTGAATGGGTGGAATGAAACATTTGTTAATTTATTCAAGAGGGATAGGGTATTTGCAAATTATTTGGTTGGTGCAGTTCAGTATAAAGTAAGTATTTACCAGTATTATATTTACCTATTTTGTCAGTTATATTGTATAAAATGTTATAACATATGTTTCCTGTGTGACCCATTCTGTGGGACAGCATTGGAAAGATCTATTCATAGTGAAGAAATGTAAAAGTGGTAATCAGTGTGATTGAATATTGGATACTTGGGCATTATATTATCAATATTAAGATTTAAAAAATTAGAAATATATTTTTTTTAGCTCACCTGTCACAAAGTGACAGGGTGAGCTTTTGTGATCGCTTTTCGTCCGGCGTCCGTCATCCGTCCGTCCGTCATCCGTCGTCCGTAAACTTTTACTTTAAACGACATCTTCTCATAAACCGCTAGGCCAATTTCATCCAAACTTCACAGGAATGTTCCTTTGGTGGTCACCTTTAAAAATTGTTCAAAGAATTTAATTCCATGCAGAACTCTGGTTGCCATGGCAACCGAAAGAAAAAACTTTAAATATCTTCTTTTAAAAAACCATAAGAGCTAGAGCTTAGATATTTGGCATGAAACATCTTCTAGTCAGTGTCTACCAAGTTTGTTCAAATAAAAGCCCTGGGGTCAAAATTGGCTCCGCCCCAGGGGGTCATTGATTTTCTCTATGTGCATATAGTAAAAACTTAAAAAATCTTCTTTTAAAGAACCAAAAGAGCTAGAGCTAAGATATTTATCATGAAACATGTTCTAATAAGTGTCTACCAAGTTTGTTCAAATAAAAGCCCTGGGGTCAAAATTGGCCCTGCCCCGGGGGGTCATTGATTTTCCCTATATGCATATAGTAAAAACTTAAAAAATCTTCTTTTAAAGAACTCAAAGAGCTATGGCTAAGATATTTAGCATCAAACATGTTCAAATAGGTGTCTTCCAAGTTTGTTCAAATAAAAGCCCTGGGGTCAAAATTGGCACCACCCTGGGGGTCATTGATTTTCCTTATAATTTTTGTGTATAGCAAAAACTTAAAAAATCTTCTTTGAAAAAACCCAAATAGCTAGAGTTAAGATATTAAGCATGAAACATCTTTTAGTGAGTGTCTACAAAGTTTGTTCAAATAAAAGCCCTGGGGTCAAAATTGGCCCCGCCCCGGGGGTCATTGATTTTCTTTATATGTGTATAGCAAAAACTTAAAATCTTCTTTGAAAAAACCCAAATAGCTAGAGTTTAGATCATAATTAAGCATGAAACATCTTCTAGTAAGTGTCTACAAAGTTTATTCAAATAAAAGCCCTGGAGTCAAAACTGGCCAGGCCCCAGGGGTGTCATTGTTTTTATCTATATGTGTATAGTAAAAACTTAAAAAAAATCTTCTCTTAAAAAGCCCAATGAGCAAGAGCTTAGATGTTTAGCATGAAACATCTTCTTATGGGTGCCTACCAAGTTTGTGCAAATAAAAGCCCTTGGGTTAAAATGGCCCTGCAACGTTGGGGGGGTGGCTATATACAGGTGAGCGACCTCAGGGCCATCATGGCCCTCTTGTTTTAATTTCTGTGCCTGTAGCAATTTTGCTTAGGTAATGTTTCTCTGACATTATAAATCAATTCAATATGAATGTATATAGACATATAGGCAAAATCAAAACTGTTCAATAGAAATTCTTTAAACTTGGCATGATGTTAGAATATGATAACAGAAACATTTTAAGCAAAATTAAATTCATCTATATGTCTATACGAAAACGTTCTTAAAGAACAGTTTGATAGGAATATGTATTAAAATTCAAGAAAAATTTTGGATTACCATGTTTTCATGTGTACCTATCAATGTATAAAAATTTGTTTTACGGCCTTGTCAAGCTTTTCCGCTGTATATTTAAGGGACATTAAGGTCAAAGTATTTAATTTAACAGCCAACATTACAAAGCCTGATCATACCTGAGGGCTTTGCTTAATGACATTGAAGGCATTGCTGCTTACATTCAAAAATGATAAGCCAGTGTTACAGCAATGCCACATCTGGTTGGACTGAATAGATGTTAAGACTGGCATGACACTGTATATACTGGTGGAAAAGGCTTGTCACTTGAGGTTACAGAAAGTTAAGAATTTATATGCCTAGGATAGCTAATAAATATACATTGAGATCTGAATTTTAGCTTGACTATTTGAAGAATAGGGAGAGATATTGTACTCCCCTAGGTGTTAGCGTCACATTGATATACAGGCTGGCCGGGCACTATATATACTTATGGCAATGGCTTATCACTTGAGGTAACAGAAGGTTAAGGATTAATATGCCTAGGATAGATCATACATATACATTGAACTCTGATTTTTAGCTTGACTATCCGAAGAATAGGAAGAGATATTGTACTCGCTCAGGTGTTAGCGTCACCCTTCTGTTAAGTTTTTGCATGCAAGTTGGTATAATTGCAAAATCTACTGAATGAACTGGATTGAAACATGTATTTGACAGCATAATAGGAGGTCACTGTCCAAGGCCCATAACTCTAACATGGATTTTGATAGAATTGTGCACATTTTTAGCTCGACTATTCGATAAGAATAAGTAGAGCTATTGTAGTCACCCGAGCGTCGGCGTTGGTGTCCGCGTCGGCGTAACCACTTATGTTAAAGTTTTTGTAATAGTTCAAATATTTTCAAAGTCCATTGACATATGGCTTTGAAACTTGGCACACTTGTTCACCATCATGACCCCAACCTGTAGACAGGAGGAGGTAACTGTATCAAGCATTTTGACAGAATTATGCCCCTTTTTCGACTTAGAATTTACGTTAAAGTTTTTGTAATAGTTCAAATATTTTCAAAGTCCATTGACATATGGCTTTGAAACTTTGCACACTTGTTCACCATCATGACCCCAACCTGTAGACAGGAGGAGGTAACTGTATCAAGCATTTTGACAGAATTATGCCCCTTTTTCGACTTAGAATTTACGTTAAAGTTTTTGTAATAGTTTAAATATTTTCAAAGTCCATTGACATATGGCTTTGAAACTTGGCACACTTGTTCACCATCATGACCCCAACCTGTAGACAGGAGGAGGTAACTGTATCAAGCATTTTGACAGAATTATGCCCCTTTTTCGACTTAGAATTTACGTTAAAGTTTTTGTAATAGTTCAAATATTTTCAAAGTCCATTGACATATGGCTTTAAAACTTTGCACACTTGTTCACCATCATTACCCCAACCTGTAAACAGGAGGAGGTAACTGTATCAAGCATTTTTTCTTACTATCAAGCACTAAGAATAGTCGAGCGTTGCTGTCCTACCGACAGCTCTTGTTCAACTTCTTGAAATTCTACATTATGCAGGGTTTTTTTCTATCAAGCACTGAGATTAGTCAAGCATACTGTTCTACTATTTTCCATTCCTGATTTTTATAATTTATTTTTTAAAGACAGTTGAATCCAATGTTTAAAATGTTTACCTTTGGTATTTTACAAAGCATTTCATTAGCTAAAAGCTTAGGGTTTTTTAATCAATATTCATGAATTGTTTTTCCAGATTAAGCATTTACAGAGTGAAATTGTACAGAAAATGTTTTTTTTATCCAAAGATTTTACTAAAAAATAATCATGAAAAATTACTGCTCCAAAGTGTATGTTTTCTAGAAATAACTAGTTTTGTGTGTTTATTTGATGTCAAATTACTTGGTGCATGCATAAGATATACATTTTTAATATGTTAAGCTGACATTAGTTCACTGTCACAAGTGGCATCACAGTGGTGATGTTGTCAGTGTCTAAGATTTGATTTAGACCAACAGAAAATGAGATTAGCTGACATCCATTGTTTATCATGGTAATTCTTATTTAGAAAGCACATCTCAGACAATTGTACAATATTTGAATTGTTATTGAGGTATATTTTTTATTGTTGTTAAGAAATATACAAAATGTTAAGGAGACTTGTTAAGTCTTATTCAATTTATGTAAAATAATGTAAAGTTTACAGTTTACGAGGTTTGTTTGGAAAGTTTGTATACTTTCTTAATATTCTCAATAATCAGGGAAACTTTTTATATTTTAAAACTTTATATTCATAGAATTCAACATCTTTTACATTTAATCTTTAAAATTCTATTCTATACTTCAGACAGATGTAGGTACTCAAACATCTAATTTCAACAATATTGATTGAATATCTTTAGATGATGTAAAATTATACAAACTTTCTGAACAACCCTCATTGTATATACAATGTATACAAGAAAATTGTTTTGCAGGTATATTATATTTTTTGCTCTATGTTTCATGAAATCTCAATATTTTATCTAATGCTGTTTGCAACTGTAAGATCTGTTATTACATTGTATATTTAAAATCTAGTCACTTTTGAATCCAAAGAACTCATCTTTTTAAGTTTTATATTAATATATTGAGGTGTGTGCCTTTGTCAACAAACTTAAATAGGTCTTATTTACGTTTTTACACATCTTCTCTTGTTTAAAGAATGCAAATGAAGTGCCATCATTTGTATAACTTTTTGCTTGTTTGATATCTTTGAATGAATAACAGAAGAAATGAGTATACTGTTGAAAACCTAACTTATGTGTATAGTGTTTGTCTGATTGTCATCAATTTTAAATAATAAACTTGAAACAATATCATATAGTATAGTTTTTACTGTAATATTGCAAATGAAAACCACCAATTTTCATGTATTTTCTTTACTCCATGAGTAACTTTTGGAAAAAGGTTTAATGGAATACATAGATAAATCTTAAAAATGGTTAGGAAATTGCTCAAGTTGTTGCCTATAATAATGAGACTGAATGTTGTGTAGATATTTTATCTTTTTATGCCCACGGGCATATTGTTATTTAATCTTCCGTCTGTCTGTCCGGGCAAATGGGAGGGCATTTGTTGGGTACCGAGAACAATAGGTAACAGTAAATTCTATTCATTCGGATGGTATTTTTGTGTACTTTTATGGTCTTACTGTGTACTTTCAAACAAAAATACCCAATGAATGTCGTCTTGTTCGCCCATCCGTCCGTCTGTCTGTTAATACGAGGTTAAACTAGAACGGCAAGTTCGATTTTTCTTACGTTGTACCTGTACCAATGGCTTCATAGTTTACTCACTTTCTAACCAATATAAAGTACATGATCTAAGCAAGTTACATAACTATGGCTTCCATATTTACCAAATAATTACCCTTTTCAGTCATTAGAAAATGAAAATGGATACCAATGGCTTTATAATTTCCAAACTTATCAATACAATGTATTGCTAGGTTATATAACAGTGCCGTTCATTTTTTCCTGGTTATTTCCCTTTTTTCATTTTGAAAATAGAACCTTGTCTGGTTAAGCTTTTCCGGCAAGTATGATTAATCTTCAATTTCACCTAATTGCTTAATTTATTTAATGATATCTTTCATGTTTAGTAGGTTGATACTTTGAATGATCCTCTAAGGAGTCTCTAGGGTTAAGGTCACTTGTTAAAAAATTAAAGTTAAACATTTTTGCTCATACAGCCTTCATTTTTATATGTCCGAAAGAATGTCGGCGAATTATGTTATATTCCCTGGCCGTCCATTAGCAATTTGGTTTCCAGAGCATAACTAAAGTTCCTTTTGACCCACAGTATTCAAACTTCACAGAATGATTGTCCATTATAAGTGAAAGACCCCTATTAATTATAGGGTCACAAGGTCAAAGGTCAAGGTCACTATTACCTAAAAACTGAAAATGGTTTCCAGAGCATTACTAAAGTTTCATTTGCCCCACAGTATTCAAACTCCATAGAATGAGTGTCCATATTAGGTAGAAGACCTCTATTTTTATGTGGTCAAAGGTCAAGGTCACTTTAACCCTAAAAGTGAAAATGATTTCCGGAGCATAACTTTAGTTTGGCCCACAATATTCAAACTTCATAGGATGATTGTCCATACTAGGTAGAAGACCCCTATTGATTTTGGGGTCACAAGGTCAAGGGTCAATGTCACTATTACCTTAAAACTCAAAACAGTTTCCGCTCAATAGCTTAAGTATTAATCAACCTACAGCTGTACAATTTTATAGGATGAACAGCCGTGTCCAATACATGACCCCATTGATTTTAGGGTCACAGGGTCAAAGTTCAGGGTCTTAATGATCTTTACACTGAAAGTTGTAGTTTCTGGAGCATAACTATAACGTGATGGTGGTGCTTTGAAAACAGCAACTGTATAAATATGAAGGTTCTTCAGCTATAAAAGATTGCTTTTTGAAGGAGGTAATACTGTATTTAATTCCCATGTCTTACAAATGTTTCATCCTTACTTACAAAAAAGCACTTTCGAGCATATAATGCTCCGACTAGCGATGCTCTTGTTAAGTTGATGTCTTTCATATTTAATACAAACATGCCAAGGGAGGTCCTCCTTCTTTGGGTGATGTAAGGGGTCATTTAAGTCAAGGTCAACAATGTCACAATGTTTTTTTTTTACATTTAACGTAATTCTATTAACAGATAATCATATATATATGATAGGAACATTAAAATGAGGTATTTCCCTTTTGGTGTTGGGTCAAGAATACCAGTGCTAAAACATTTCTATACTTTTGCTCATACAGCCTTTATTTATTAACAGAAGGTAATTTGCATGCTATTCTGTAGGGATCAGAGGTTCAATGACACTGGTGCTAAGAATATATTTTTACACTTTTGCCCATACAGCCTTAATTTATTGATAGATGTATTTCATATCTGATAGAATGATAACTTGCATTGTATTCCTCCTTAAGATGTAGTTAAGAGTAAGTTGGGTCTAGGTCATCAGTGCTAAACAAAGTTTTTTAAACTTTTACCCATACATCCTTTATCTATTGACAGATGAAATTCATATTTGAAAAAAAGGAAATTTTCATTTTCCGTTAATTATCTCCCAAACAGTTGTACATATTCAACTCAAAATTAAAATATGGATATGTCATAAGAATACACTAGTCAAGTTTGAATTTGGTCATGGTTTGATGAAAGCTGACAGAGAAATCCCTCTTTAACTTGAAAAAATCAGAAAGTTCTAGTGTTCATTATCTCCCCTATGGTTGAACACATTTAACTCCAATTTGACATATACATACATCATAGGAATGCGCAGTTCATGTTCGAATTTGGTCGTGGTTCAATGATTTTGGACAAAGTTATCTCTCTTGAATTTTGAAAAAAATTGTATTTTTAGTTTCAGCACTCATACTTTTGTAGAAATGTATGTAGTCATTATTTTGGCTACAAATATGCAATATGCAATTTACAAAAGATAACACTGAATAGTTTCAGTACCTTGAACACATTGTTTTCTCGTTTAGGGCAAAAGCATTCTTTTACTTGGGGACCATATGCCGCTTTTCATGGAATGGCACTACTGTGTCACATTGAAGGTTCCATGATAACCGCCGTATGAACACATCTGCGGATGTTTCTAAATTCAAAATTTCACCAGTTTCGTGTTAAATGTTGAATTCTGATTAAGGGGGCGTGGACGGTAGTTTGCACATTACAGTACCGTCCATGAACAGGCTCAATCAAACCGAGCCTACAACATATTCAATTATGTTGTGTTGGACTTTCTTTCGCGATTCTTGCTTTCTCTATTTGTATAAAAACGGTTTGTGTTTACATGGAATAGTTTTAGGGGCTTTGAACTTAAAATGAAAGAAATAGTTTGTGCAAACAAATTTGGAACTAAATATAGTAACATCTGAAATTTGGCTGCATGCGGGGGCATCCGTGGCGTGACAACACATTTCTAGTTTCTAAATAAAACAATTCAATTACTAAGAGAAAGTCTAAATATCATTACCTGTTTGTTTTTTAGCTCACCTGTCACAAAGTGACATGGTGAGCTTTTGTAATCGCTTTTCGTCCGGCGTTCGTCCGTCTGTCCGTAAACTTTTACTTTAAACGACATCTCCTCATAAACGGCTAAGCCAATTTCATCCAAACTTCACAGGAATGTTCATTTGGTAGTCAACTTTAAAAATTGTTAAAAAATTTTAACTCCAAGCAGAACTCTGGTTGCCATGGCAACCAAAGAAAAAAAACCTTAAAATATCTTCTTTTAGAAAACCGAAAGAGCTTGAGCTTAAATATTTGGAATGAAATATCTTCTAATTTGGCCCCGCCTCGGGGATCATTGATTTACTTATATGTATATAGTGAAAACTTAAAAAATCTTCTTTTAAAAGGCCCAAATAGCTGGAGCTTAGATTTTAAGCATGAAACATCTTCTAGTGGGTGTCTACCAAGTTTGTTCAAATAAAAGCCCTGGGGTCAAAATTGGCCCCACCCAAGGAGGTCATTGTTTTTCCCTATATGTATAAATTAAAAATTAAAAAAATAAATAAAAAAGAGCTAGAGCTAAGATATTTAGCATGAAACTACCATTTTTGTTCAAATAAGGGCCCTAGGGCAAAAATTGGCCCCGCCCTGGGGATCATTGATTTACCTTATATTTTTATAGTAAAAACGGACAAAAAAATTCTTCTAAAAAAAAACCAAAGAGCTAGAGTTTAGATAATAAGCATGATCTTTTAGCGATTGACTATCAAGTTTGTTCAAATAAAAGCCCCTGGGTTAAAATTGGCCCCGCCCCGAGTGCCAGATACAAGTCAGCGATTTCAGGGCCATCATGGCCCATCTTGTTTCCTCTATGTAGTTAAAGTTTCATTTCCCTATTTTCTATTAGAGAGTAAAATAATTCAACCTGAAACATTAACTTTCGGGTCGAGTTGACTAGTATACCTATGTTAATAAATAGTGACTGGTGGTGTCATCCTGACAAACAGTAAACATGTATTATTATCAAAATACTGAGATTATGTAATAATCCATTTTTTAAGATAAGTAAATAAAAAAGAAAGATCACGATTCCGAAAGACAGTCATAGGCAAATTGTATCACAAATTAATGGATGGATTATCACCAAACATGGTCTGTAGCATTCTTCAAGGTTTCTTTATCACGTTTGCTCAAATTAATTTTATTTGCCTCATTTAAGGGCCACTTGAGCTGAAAATGGAAAAGATCACGCAGCGTGAGTCGATATGCTTAACTGACATGTACCATATGAACAGTAACAATGAAATTGGGACATTTGTGAAAGGTTCCTATCATTTTTACTATGAAGAAAAAACAATTAGTGTCGGGGAAACTTTATATCTAGAGAGGCAAGTTGAAGTTGAGCTGGACCTGTCTTTCGACAAGTTCATTTGAAAACATATTTCTATCACTGAATAACAGTTGTTTCTGGCAAGCGATTCAGGGCCATCATGACCCTCTTGTTAGACTTTTATTTTCCTTTGCTTCTGTTGGTTTATTTGCAAAAGTCTTGTTTCTTTGATTACATTTTGCTACTTTATTGACATTTAATTTCACAGTCATTTCAAAAGAAGAAAAATAATATTCGTTTATGCGTAATGGGCCTTTGATTTTTATTATTAGAATAAAAGGAGGAAAGCACATACTAAAATTAGTACACAACTCAGTAATAGAAATGAAACAATCCCAAAATCGATTAAATTTAACATTTATTTCACTCATAAACACCATCTCATTTACACAACATACGATTGAGAAAAATATATAAATTTTGGTTTAAATCATAATGCAAGAATAGAATGTACATGATAAGTCAAATAAATCTCTACAACATAATTCATGTACGTATATTCACAATGAATTAATCAAAACAAGCATCATTAAATATTGTACATGTATATACTTGTCACAATCAAGTTATTAAGTGTCTGCGTTTTTCTTATTACATTTTATGTTAAGATATTGACTTTTACACATGAATCAGGATGTTCTTTAAGTAGTTTTATTCAGATATTATACACTTCAATGTTGTCATCTTTGTATCTGTATATATACATCCTAGTCATATGTTGACTACAACAGACTGTCATAATTCCCTTTTTTCTACTATCAGCTTTTACAACCTCTCCTATCAGCTCACCATCACTTGTAAACTGTAAAACGTTATTGGAGCCATATTCAGATACCAGCACACTACCTGCTTCAGTGAGATAACAACACCTTGCCCCATTTAATTGTGCATCATTTAATGGTGTAATAACCTGACCATTGTTGTCCAGTACTATCAATCCATTATAGAGGTCAGCAACATAAATCCTCGTAGCATCCTTACTGACAGCTATACTGCGTATGTCAGAGAACAGTTTATGTCCGGACTGATCCCTACTGAACTGATTAAGCTTCCTGCCAGATAATGTATACATATAAACTGATGTGTATTCATCTGAAATATATAAATTAGTGTTTGCAAATGCAAGACCATAACAGTCAAAACCAGTGTTTATCTTATTTGTTGTTTTCATTTTTCTTTCTAGAGAAATGAAATGAACTTCTTTTTGTGATGAAACAGTTACTGCTACTTGTGCATTATTGATCATACATACTTGCCATAGACTTCTAGGTAGATCATAGTCGTCTGTGACAGTATAGTTATAACTGTGCAACCGTTTAAGCTTTTTGTTATTGTTATCAGCTATAATTATTGTACCGTCATCCATACAGCAGGCACTGCTGATATTACAACTGGTTTTATCAGTACTAACTTTTACATTATATGATTGATTTCCTTTAATCTGAAATAAAGGGCCAGTAGTCTTAGTAAGTTTCTCTGATAGTAAGCCTATTGTCTTCTTTTGTTCTAACTGTGTAACAATTGTTCTATCAGGTTGAAAATCTATGCCTTCCACAGGACTTTTAAATTTTGCATCTTCTATATATTTGTTAGCAACATTTGCAGCATCCTCTGCAATCTTAACATAAACAAACAGTTCAGATTGAATTATGTTTGTAGATGCTAATTTGTCATTAGCTGATGTAATCATGGACTTGTTTGTCTTCAAGACTTTTGACTTTATCTTCTATCTCATCAATAGAACTTTTCTCCAGCTTGTCAAGATGGTCATTGATTTCTTGCCGGAATTTGCTAATAGTTGACAGTATTTCTGCTTTCCTCTCTAGCAGCTTTTGTTTATCCTGTTTAAATTTATCAGCTTGTTTAGCAAGGGTCTTGGCAATGTTCTTGAGTTTTGTTTGAATTTCACTGGATGCAACTTGGTAAGTATTGTTTTGAATAAATTCTGGTATGTAGAATGTGTCCTTGCATAATCTGGAAAACGAATTTAGACAGTTTATTTATATAAGGCTATGAGACGAGTGAAGAGATAATGTTTTATTCTCTGTGACATATCAGTATTTAAGACAGAATATTATGTTAAGACTTTTTACTACCTATTAAATATTCAATACATTAAAGTTATGCCCATCCAAATGCATAGCCATCGAAATTTACCTATAAAGAGAGCGGGCAGTCTATTTATATTTCTGACAGATTTATGTGTTTTATGCTGAACAATTTCTAATATTAACTGTTTGTCAAACACCATTATAACAGTCTACCATGTGAAATATATAGTAAATTCAGCTCAACTTGATGAGCATAATTTCACTTTAACTGAAAAAACCTATGTTTATATATTGAATTTTACCTATGATCAACTACCATACATGTAGAACATCCAACATTATCGTGGTTTTGAAAGTACATATCAATGTGTTTATGACTGTGTCTGTCACATCTCTCTGTTGGTGCCCTCGGCAGACCTTTGCTGGTTCCTGATTTAACTTGAGATTTATCCAACACCTTGTGACCAGCACACAGAGGCACTTGACCATGTACTTGAACACAAGTTATACAGAAATAATCCTTACAGTCTACACAGAATTTTTCACCTTCAGTGTTTTTCCCTTTGTTTTTACACATTGAACATAATACATCAAATATTTCATCGGAAAGAACATCCTTATCTATATGTTCACTTGTGGCCATTTTGTAGAAATTTTATCCATATGTGTAATCTGAACTGATCTATTCACCAATAAAGCTGTCTCATTTTCGTTTCAGAGTCATTTTAAAACATTATTATTACAACAACATTTAATCACAGTTCTGAAGTGTTACAACTATTATGATATTTAACTTATTCCTTTCTATGTGAAATTATTATCTCAAATTTTGCCGGTTCACACTACTAAGTTTGCAAATGAAATAAAAACGCTCATATTCATTGCACGTAGAATTTTTATCTGTTATTAAAATGTCAGTTCAAAGTTCACAGCTGAATTCCAAATTGATAAACCTTATCAAAATATGCAATGTTAAGTGTTTACTCAATCAGAGATGTTATATTTCTGGTCTTTAAAGATTGTTTAGCACGACATTATTGTTGTGCTTGTGTCAATTTAGTTCTTTCTATTCGGCTATTGTCTTGTTGGGTGGTTCCAATATTCCTCACTTGAATACTGTTGAATAACCCCTAGGATATGAGGCCTGATTTTTAAAATTGTCTTTTGATGTATTATCTGTGATATGCAGGCTTCATAACCTCTTATCCCCTTTAAAAGAATATCCATTTTATTTTGTTTCGCCCATTGTTTTCTCGTTAAGGACACACGCAGTTTTTTAATAGGGACCATATGCCGCTTTTCATGGAATGGCACTAACGTGTCACATTGAAGGTTCTATGATAACCGTCATATGAACACATCTGCGGATGTTTCAAAATTCCAAATTGTACCAGTTCATGTTAAATGTTGAATTCAGCTTAGCCGGTGCTAGAGGGCATGGACAGAAGTTTGCACTTGGTTTAACATATTTATTTTTTTGATGCGTTAATTTAATGTCGCTGCTGGAAAGCCCATATGGGCGACCGTACACTCCAGTCGGGCCATCCAAGAGCGTCCCGCCGAGATTTTTCGTCGATTTTTTTCCAGCTTTATTGGAAGAGGAAGACCCCAGGTGCCCCTCCAGACATTATTTCAGGCACGAGCGGGCACCTGGGTAGAACCACCGACCTTTCGGAAGCCAGCTGGATGGCTTCCTCACATGAAAGGTTTAACATAGGTTTAACATTATGATATTAACACCCGGAAGAAAATAATCTGAACAATTTTAAGAAAAAATTTCTTTCCATAAAAAAATAATGTAACCGAAAATGATCAGCACGGATCACAGGTTAAAAAGGCTACCTTTATATTTCAGTGGTTATCTTTACAGAAATGTATAAGTAACATTTTGATTTCTAATCTCAATTAATGTATGGTTTGTGATAAAAGTACAATTGACATTGTTAAATAAAAATTGTTTATCTTTGTTATTCAAGCTCAAACAATATGCCAATTCTGCAAACTCAAAGATTTTAAAACAAGATGACATAGGATGTTTATGAAGTAAAAATATTATTATTGACAGACTTACAAATTCGTAAGCAAGCAGCGTATTATTTTCAAAAAGAAATTCATTGGCAACTTAAAGGGAAAAATTTAAGCAGGCCGATCAAATTATAGCCCTGAGGTCAAAATAAGCTTCGCTCCAAGGGGTCATTGATTTTCCTTATATATGTATATAGTTTAAAATCAAAATATCATCTCTGAATTGACAAAGGCTAGAGGTAAGATATTTGGCATGAAACATTTTGTAGTGCACCTCTACCAAGATTGTTCAAATTATTAGTACTTGTGTCATAATTGGCTTCGCTCCAGGGGTTCATTGATTTTTGTAGAGCCCGCTTGCGCGTATGTGTATAGGTCGGTGTATGTGCGTCTGTGCGTCCGTCCGTCAGTCTGGTCATAGTGAGGCAGAGTGTGGCACAAAAATTTCAGGTGTCTGTGGCAATGGTCAAGGCCACACTAAGGGGTCAAATGTCAAATAAAAAATTGAACATTTTTGTGCTGATATAACTTCTATATACATGGATGGATTTTAATATTACTTAGCACAAATGTTCTCCATGTTGAGTTGTGATGATTTGGCAAAAGGAAGGTAAGGTTACAAGAGGTCAGTGGTCAAATAAAGATTTTAAAATTTTGTCTGATCTATCTTGCTCATTTTTATAAGGATTACAAAATAATTTGGAAGAAATTCAACATTAAGGGCTGGAGTGTATACACAAAACCCAGGTTAGCCGCTCAAAGGTCAAGGTCGCACTTGGGGTTTGGCGCAAAACCTGTGTCCGGAGTGAAACTTCTACATGCCTGGATGGATTTTAATATACATTGGGACAAATGTTCTCTAGTGAGGCAGAGTGTCGCACGATAAATTCAGGTGTCTGTATAAATAGGTCAAGGTCTTACTTCATGGTCAAGGGTCAAAGTACAAATTAAAACATTGATTTGTGAGTATAACTTCTATATACATGGATGGATTTTAATATAACTTAAAACTATGTTCTCAATGGTAAGTTGAGTCGTCTTGCGCAAAATGAAGGTAAAAGAGACAAGAGGTCTAAGGGCAAATAAAAGTATGAAACTTTTTTCTTCGCACTCTATCTTGCTTATGCTTTGAAGTTTTATGCTTAGTGGACAGAGGAATTGTCAGGCCAGGTTTTGCTGAGCTCTACATTATAAGTTGTCAAAATGTCTGTTCAGTGCTTGTGTGTGTGTGTGCGTGCGTCCAAACATGACCATGCCATTACTTCTTCGTACATGAAGGAATATTAGAATAACATAATTGAGTTTTCAGGCACAAATGTTCCTCATGAGACATGAAGCATGTCACTGGTCCAGAGGTCAAGGTCACATAAGATGATGCAATGTCAATAATTCTTGACTAATTACAGAGATATTGCCCTTTGTTACTTTTCCTTGTCCGGGCCATAACTTGAAAATAACTGGTTGGAATTCAAAACAACTTCATACAATTGTCAAACACAATAAGGGGAAGTGCAGTGCACAAGAACCATAACTCTATCTAAAGTAATTACAGAGTTATTGCCCTTTGTTACTTTTCCATTGATTTTTTTGTCCGGACCATAACTTGAAGACTAATGGTTTGAATTCAATATAACTACATACAATGGTCAAGCACATTGAGAGGAAGTGCAGTGCATAAGAACCATAACTCTATCTTGACTAATTACAGAGTTATTGTCCTTTGTTACTTTTCCTTGTCCGGGGCATAACTTTAAATCTACTGGTTGGAATTCAAAACAACTTCATACAATTGTCAAACACAATAAGGGGAAATGCAGTGCACAAGAACCATAACTCTTTCTAAAGTAATTACAGAGTTATTGCCCTTTGTTACTTTTCCATTGCCTTTTTCGTCCGGACCATAACTTGAAGACTAATGGTTGGAATTCAATATTACTTCATACAATGGTCAAGCACATTGAGAGAAAGTTCAGTGCACAAGAACCATTACTCCATCTTGACTAATTACAGAGTTATTGCCCTTTGTTACTTTTCCTTGTCCAGAGCATAACTTGAAAACTCCTGTTTGGAATTCAATACAACTTCATACAGTTGTCAAGGACATTAAAAGGAAGTGCAGTACATAAGAGCCATAACTCTATTTTGACTAATTACAGAGTTACTGCCCTTTGATACTTTTCCTTGTCAGGAGCATAACTTAAAACGTACTGGTTGGAATTCAAAACAACTTCATACAATGGTCAAGCACAATAAGAGGAAGTGCAGTGCACAAGAACGATAACTCTATCTTCAGTATTTATAGAGTTATTGCCCTTTGTTCCTTTTCTTTGTATTTCTGGACTTATTACAGAGTACTTCAATTAAACTTCATCAATGGCCAACCACATTGAAAGGAATTGCAACATATAAGAACCCCAACTATCTTTAATTGCCCACAACCATAACTCTATATTTCAATTCTTTTACAAGGTATTCTGTTACTAGTAACATCCTCCTTTCCGAAGCAGTCTTGCGGGGGTATTAATCACATTTAGTGATAGTTCTAGTTTAAATATAGTAAACACTTCAAAAAATCTTCTTTTATGAAGATATAAGGCTTAATAGAGCTTTGATATTTGGCGGATGATATCACCTATATGTCCTCTAACAAAGATTGCAAAAGTATTTAAATTGGCCTCACCCCGGGGCCATATGTTTCCAAATATGAAAAACACTCTACTGACTACTGTTTCAGTTAAGATATCCTGGAAAATCACTTCTTGTTTTTTTCTAGTGTGTGTTTCAGTATTTTTATGTTTTCATATTTCTGTTTAAGTATGCTGTAATTTGACAACAATTAAGTAAGCAGAAAGCAAAAGTAAAACATGAATATATATTAAGTTACTTGTACATTTAAAATGAAATAACCTCATATTGTACAGCTCCATCAGCAGATATCTTTTTTTCCAAAGCTTGGGTCAGTAATACATAAGTGCATTTTTGCAGTTTTATGATACTTAAGAAGCTCTGAGAGTGAGATTCCTCGGAGGTTAATAACAATTAAGTGTATTAATTTTTCACAATAACAGGTGATCGAAGTTTCAAGAACTGAATCATATTGTCAATATTCTTAGCAGCTCATGACATAACCCAAAATGATTAAGATTAACTAATGAAACAGTACCATGTTTTACTAACACATGTAGTACCAATAGTGGGTCGTCCGTGGCCGAGTGGTTCAGGTCTTGACATCAAACCACACTTTTTTAAGAACAATAGTCTCCAGTCTCAAATGCATCACTCATCAACGCAACAGCATTAAGTGGAAAAAAACGGCAACTATCATCATCTGTATTAAAAACTCCACAATCTACATCGCTGAAGTCACAAGTCTTTGGTCATTCAAACCAAACATGAGGCAACTGAAAAAGCCTGATTCTTGTCAAGAAAGATACAATTTTCATGTTTTTCTCAATCAGAAATTTGCTTTTATTGATTCTTTAAACTTGCTATGAGTATATATTTCAGACAAAGGCGGACTTTGTTCCTGTTTATTTTATGGCCTTTTCCGCCTAATGAATAGCCCTTGGGTGGATTTTATTCCAGCTTTGCAGTATGCTGGAATCCGCCTTATAGGACAAATTTGCATATTTCAAGCTCTAGTCTCCTTAAGGTCAGATATACGCTTTATATAGCACACATAGTTGGAAACTCTTACTTATTGCAGGCTTTTTCATACAGGTACCGTTGAAACAAACATGCATTAAGGTAAAGTTATACATTTACACAGTTTCAATATGCTGTTGGATCATTTATTTATACAAATATACAAGTTCATATACATAGCACATGGACATACAAAAATGCATTTAAATCTGTCACTTTCAGGCAAAAATGTTGAATGTACTTAATAATATATTAATATGGTATATTGTGTGTGAAAAATATGCTCTGAATATTGCATTCAAATAATTAAATAATTCAGGAAACAAATCATTGAGAAAAATATACAAATAAACAAGTGTTTAGCAAACTCAAATAACAAGTGTTTAGCAAACTATCAAGAATAAATAATACTCGGTATCGTAGAGGACTCAAGAATTGAGGGCTGCAGGGGGTTATCATTATAGTTACCTTCATACAGCAATTTTACAGTTAAATATATCATTAAAATACCCGATGCTCACCCATGTTACATTCAAGAAATACAAAGCACCCGATAGATTTAAATTCAAAAATGCTTATCTCAGGTGAAAATGTTAAACACTAGGCAATGCCCGGACAGCTACGGACACACAGACTCAACCATCACCTTTACTTTCCACCACCATTTTCATTCATTAGATGATTGATCAGCATTTAATGAAATTGATCTGTATATTGAAATTGAATGTTAGGGGAGGTAACTAGAATTACTAGTTGGAACTACCCAACTGGTTGCTTCTGGTAAGATATATCTACCTATATTTGTTGTTGCGTTGTTTTGTAACTATCAATTATTATCTGTAGAAGTAAGTCACTATTTTGAGTAAGTCAAGTTATTTTGTCAGAGTTATGCCCCTTTTACTTTGAAAATAATATGAAATGTTCAGTTTCCGTTCATTATCTCCACAACGGTTTAACACATTCAACTCAAACTTGACAAATAGATAAGTCATGTAAAAATACAGGTCAAGTTCGAATTTGGTCATGGTTCGATGATTTTTGGTAGAGTTATGCCCCTTTAACTTTGAAAAGACTATGAAATTTTTAGTTTCCGTTCATTATCTCCCCAACAGTATTACACATTCAACTCAAACATGACAAATGGATATGTCATGAGAAAATACAGGTTACGTTCGAATTTGGTCATGGTTCTATGATTTTTGGCAGAGTTATGCCCCTTTTACTTTGAAAATAATATGAAATTTTCAGTTTCCGTTCATTATCTCCCCAACTGTATTACACATTCAACTCAAACTTGACATATGGATATGTCAAAGGAATGCGCAGGTCAAGTTCGAATTTGGTCATGGTTCCATGATTTTTGGCAGAGTTATGCCCCTTTCACTTTGAAAATAATATGAAATTTTCAGTTTCTGTTCATTATCTCCCCAACAGTGTTACATATTCAACTCAAATTTTACATATGGATATGTCAAAGGAATGCACAGGTCAAGTTTGAATTTGGTCATGGTTCAATGATTTTTGGCAGAGTTATGCCCCTTTAACTTTGTAAAAAGGACATTTTCAGTTCACATTCATTATCTCCCCAACAGTTGTACATATTCAACAACAAATTAAAGATATGGATATGTCATAAGAATGCATTGGTCAAGTTCGAATTTGGCCATGGTTTGATGATAGCTTATCCCTCTTGAACTTTGAAAAAAAAATCAGAAATTTTAAGTTTCCGTCCATTCACATTCACATTCAACTCAAATTTGACATATAGTTACATCTTAGGAATAAGCAGTTCAAGTTTGAATTTGGTCGTGGTTTAATGATTTTGGACAAATTTATCTTTCACTAAATAGTTTCAGTGCCTTGAACTTTGCATAAAAATGGTTTGTGTTAACACTGAATAGTTTTAAGGAATGAAAAAAAAAAAATTTGTGCAAACAAATTTTGAACTAAATATTATAACATCTGAAATTTTGGTTGCACGCGGGGGCATCCGTGGCATGATGACACATTTCTAGTTTTTAATATGTCAATAATCAGGGTATCTTAAAATAAATCTTAACTTCATATAGACATCAACATCTTTTACATTTAATCTGTAGGATTCAATTCTGTATTTCAGTTAGCTGTACTAAAACATCACCTTTCAACAATATTGATTGAATATTTTGAAAAATCGTTAAATTATAAAAACTTTCTGAACTTTACCCTCATTGTATATAAGATTCAATGTATACAAGAAAATTGATCGGTATGTTTACTATACATTTTGCTCCATATTTCACAAAATCTCAATATTTTATCAAATAAGATTTGTTACATTATATATTGAAAATCTAGTCACTTTTGAATCCATATGAACATATTTTTTTTACATTTTATATTGTTATATTGAGGTGAGGTGTATGCCTTTGTCAACTCACAAACATAGGTTTTATTTACGTTTTTTACACATTAAGAATGCAAATGAAGTGTCATCATTTGTATAATTTTCTGCTGCTATTTTGTTATCTCTGAGTAAATTACTGAAGAAATAAGTAGACTGTTGAAAACCTGTCCTATATGTATATAGTTTGTCTGCTTGTAATCAATTTTAAATAATAAAACTTGAAACACTAACATACAGTGTAATTTTTACTGTGATATTACACAAGTGATGAAAGAAAACCAGCAAGTTTCACGAGTGACTTTTCTATGAAAAAAGGGTTAATGGAATACTGCGATAACTGGTAGCTATAAGGTAATACATTACTGGTAGCTATAAGGAAATACATAATTATCCAGTAGCTATAATGAAATACATAATTATCCAGTAGTTATAATGAAATACATAACCGCTAGTTATAATGAAATACATAACCAGTAGTTATAATGAACTACATAACCAGTAGTTATAATGAAATACATAACCGCTAGTTATAATGAAATACATAACAAATAGCTGCAATGGGATACTTTGAACTGGTTGCTACAAAAGAATACATAACTGGTAGCTAAAATGTAATACATAACCAATGGCTGAAGTGGAATTGTAATGAAATACTTTGAACTGGTTGCTATAATGGAATACACAACTGGTAGTTGTAATGGAATACATAACCGGTAGCTGTAATGGAATACATAGCCAGAAGCTAGCTATTATTAATTATATACCAGTACATAACAGGTAGGTAGCTATACACTCCTCACTTAAGTGCGACATTTCATAAATTCTAGAACTGACGAGATGAACTTTCTTGTATATATTTTAATTCTATTTCATTTCAAAATTAATAGTATCTCGACATCTTAAATGTCAAATATTACCAGTAAAGATGCCCTTGATTTTTCCCTACGACAGGTTTTCTAGATAGAACTAGAAAATAAATGTTGTCATTTACGAGACAATGGTCCTTAATTTTTTGCATTTGGTATAGCTATTATATTTGTACTCTTAGAATAAATTTTCTATAATCTTGCAATATGAACATTTTGGAATAAAAAACAACTCGTGAAAATGCATTTCATACCGAATATGCATAAATCTTATTTTCAAAATAAATAACATTATAAAATCCACAGATATCTCATACTTACTAAGTACTGTATATAAAATCTCGTGTCATATAGGTGTCAGAGTTGGTTGGGATATCTGTCTTACATTTACAAGGAACATATATGCGTAAGGTGGTCCTTTTTTAATTTTTGGATGGAGTATGGGTCACTGGATTCTAGGTCAATGTCTTGCATTTATGATTTGATTATAAATAAAGTTTTATTGGGCATTATGTTATCATTGTTTAGACATTTGTGTTTAAGTAACACTTTACTGTTTCATGATGGAATCTCCTTTACTCATAAAGAATTGCAAATTCAGAATAGTTCAAATCTAGCTCATTGTATAATACATGTATGATGTGTATTGTATATATATGAAACTGCATACTATTATTGTCCGTACCTTTCTTTCTTGGTATCTGATGAAATACTTTTTTTTATATAGGCAATTTTCTTATTCTTTTTTTAAAACCTTTTATATGCCGAATGTGATAGGTGGTTTATAGTTTTATGCCAGGACTACTAAAAGATGTTTTTGTGTGCAGTAAAACTGTCTTTCAATATAGTTGTACATGTAATATATTATTGCATAGGTTAAATATCTCCTTTTTTTCTAGCACAAAATTACGAATGCCATCCTGTTTGTTACTAACTGAATTAACTTCTTTGTATCTGTTGATTTGTTTTCACAAATTAGTAGAGTTTAGTTGATGTTTAGTATTTTGTGTGGAAATCAAATGCTTTATATTTTGCTACTTTATTGACATTTAATTTCACATTCACTACATTTTTTTTTTCTCAAATAATAAGCATTAAAGGAGAATTTATATAAACGTTATAAAGCCCATTTTTGTCCTTTGAAAGACAAAAAAATGATATTGCTTTTAGGCATAATGGGCCTGTTAGTTTTATTTTATTTAAAAGGTGGAAAGCGCTTAAAATTACGCAACTAAGCAATGAAAAATAAAATAATCCCAATATAGATACGAAAATGTGTTTAAATTCTACATTTATTTCACTGAAAACAATCTCACATACACGTTCAAACAATTTAAAAAAATATATAAAATTTGTATTAAATTATAATGCAAGAATACAACGTATGATGAATCAAATAAATTTTTCACAAAATAATTCATGTATATAAACAAATTAAATCAAACTAGTAGTATCTTTACATATTGAATATCCATATACTTGTGCAACATTTTAAGGCAAACAAAGCCAGGGTGTCGGTGTAAAAGTGTAAATAGTGTAAAAACTATCACAATCAAGATATTTAAGTGACTGTGCTTTTCTGTTTACATTTTATGTTTGAAAATTGATTTTTACATATGCATCAGATTGTTCTTTAGATATTTTTATTGATCTCATACACTTCCATGTTGTCATTTTCATATCTGCTTATATACATCTTAGTCATTTGTTGATTACAACAGATTGACTTAATGGCCTTTCCACTGTCAGCTTCTATAACCTCTCCTATCAGCTCACCATCACATGTAAACAGTACAACATTATTGGAGACAACTCCAGATACCAGCACACTACCTGCTTCTGTGAGATAACACCAGTTAGCCCCCTTTAATGGTTCATCATTAAATGATGTATTAACTTGACCATTGTTGTCCAGTACTATCAGTCCATCATAGTCAGCAACATAAATCCTTGCAGCATCCTGACTGACAGCTAGACTGCGTATGTTAGATAATAGATCATGTCCTGACTGATCTTTACTGATCTGATGAAGCTTCCTACCAGATAATGTATACATATATACTGATGTTTTACTGTCTGAAATATATAAATTATTGTTTGCATATGCAAGGCCATAACATACAAAATCAGTTTTAATCTTGTTTGTTGTTTTCAATTGTCTTTCTAGAGAAATGAAATGAACTTCCTTTTTTGATTGCAGAGTAACTGCTACTTGTGTGTTATTGATCATACACACTTGCCATGGCATTCCAGGTAGATCACAATAGTCAGTGACAATATAGTTATAACTGTGTAACCTTTTAAGCTTGTTGTTGTTGTAATCTGCAAGAATTATTGTACCATCTTCCATACAGCAGGCACTGGTGATGCAACAATTGTTTATATCAGACTTAACTTTTACATTATAAGATTGTTTTCCTTTAATCTGAAATAAAGTGACAGCAGTCTTTGTAAGTTTCTCTGATAGTGTGCCTAGGGTGTTCTTTTGTTCTAGCTGTGTAACAATTCTTCTATCTCGTTGAAAATCTATGTCTTTAACATAACTTTTAGACTTTGCATCTTCTATATATATGTTTGCAACATTTGCAGCATCCTCTGCCAATTTAACATAAACAAACACTTCAGATTGATTTGCGTTTTCAGATGCTAATTTATCATTAGCTGATGTAATCCTTGACTTGTTTGCTTGTAGCTGTTTTAGACCATCTTCAATCTTGTCTTCAAGACTTCTGACTTTATCTTCTATCACATCTATTGAACTTTTCTCCAGCTTGTCAAGATGGTCATTGATTTCTTGTCGGAATTTTCTGATATCAGCAAGCAGTTCCGCTTTTCTCTTTAGCAGCCTTTGTTTATCCCTCTTAAATCTATCAGCTTGTTTAGCTAGTGTCTCAGCTAAGGCTTTAAGTTTTGTCTGAATTTGTCTGGATTCAACTTGGTAAGTATTGTTTTGGATAAATTCAGGTATGTAGAATGCATCCTTGCATAATCTGCAAAATAAGTTCAGACAGATTATAATTATATTAGGCTATCAGATAACTGAGGAGATTAAATATTTTATTCTCTGTAACATATAAGTATTTAATTAGAATATTATGTTCAGACTTTTAAGACCCTATTAAACATGTCATATATAAAAGTGACACTATGCCCATCCAACGGTCTTATAAAGAGAGTGGGGCAGACTGTTTTATATTTCTTGCATATATAATATTTTGTTTTATCCTGAATTTTTCTAATATCAATTGTTATTAAATCAGCATTATAGCAGTCTATCATGTGAAATATATTGTCAATTTAGCTCAACTTGACACTGAACAATTGAGCATAATGAAAAATATAATCTGTTTTTATATATTAAATTTTACCTGTGATCAACTGCCATACATGTAGAACAGCCAACATTATCATGGTTCTGACAGTACATATCAATGTGTTTATGACTGTGTCTGTCACATCTCTCTGTTGGTGCCCTCGGCAGACTTTTGCTGGTTCCTGACTTAACTTGAGATTTATCCAACACCTTGTGACCTACTAATACAGGTACTTCATTGTGAACTTGAACGCAAGTTTTACAAAAGTAATCATGTCAATCTACACAGAATTTTTCGCCTTCAGTATTTTTCCCTTTATTTTTACACATTGAACATAATACATCAAATATTTCATCGGAAAGAATATCCGTATCTATTTGTTTACCAGTAGCCATTTTGTAGAAATTTTATTCAAATATGAAATCTGAACTGATCTATTCACCAATAAAGCTGTCCCATTTTCGTTTATTCACAGCAACACTTAATAATCACAGTTCTGAAGTTTTGCAACTGTTAGGATATTTAACTTATTCCTTTCTATGTGAAATTATTATCTCAGATTTTGCTGGTTCACCCTACTAAGTTGACAAATGGAAAAAAGGCTCATATTCATTGCACGGTTGAATTTTTATCTGTTAAAATGTCGGTCCAAAGTCCAAATTGATAAACCTTATCAAAATATGCAGTGTTAAGGTATTAGCACCCTAATGCATTACCTCCGCTTTGAAGAGTATTCAAATAGGCTAGAACTACTGTTAACTACATTGAAAATGAGGGGCCATGGGTTCAATCCCCAGAAGGGTCAACTTTTTTTTTCTTTCTTTTTTTCTTTTAACATTATTTATGTATCTCTCATGTCCCATTTGGAAAGAAAAAAGTGTTTAATTTAGATTTTTTAATTTATATAGGTATTTATTGGCTAAATTATGCTTAATCTAGTAATAAATATGGTACCTGATATTTTCAAAGTGTTATATAATCAAAACTAGACGGTAAAAGTATTTCATATTTTACAAGATCAACCAATATAACTTTATAAAATTTTAGGGAAACTTTGAAAACAGGCACTCATTTGGGTAAATTTAAAAAAAAATTAAATTAGGCTCCCTAAGTAGAAAAATGGTCTGACACGTGGTTAAAATGGGTGGGGTAGGGTAATATTTTTATACAGATTTCATAAATTTTAAGTAGAAACCATAATTTTGCTTATGTGGATTGTTAGCTGAATGGTACTATATGTTTCTTACCAAAAATTAATGGGAAAACATTTTTCATTAGAATGTTATTGCAGATTATTTAAAGGTTCCGCATTTCTAAAAAAGGGCCCTCATAACATCCTAGCTTGAGTTCAGAAAAGTGGCCATAACTTGATTTCCGTACGGTAAACTTTGTTTAAATTTTGCATACAGGTGTACTTTAAGGTATACATCTAGCCTATGATGTCAATTTTTTAGTTTCTGAAAGTGCCCATTAGGGTCCTAATACCTTAAGTGTTTACATAGGCTTGGTTTAACATAGGTTTAACATTATGATATTTATAAAGCAATAAACACCCGGAAGTAAATCTAAACAATTTTAAGAGAAAAAATATGTCTTTCCATGAAAAAATCTTGTAACAAGAAATGAAAACTGATAATAATCAACACGGACCACAGGTTAAAATAGACCACTTTGATATTGTCATTGGTTAAAGTTAAAGAAATGTAGAAGTAATATTTTGATTTCTATACTCTATTCATGTCTGGTTTGTTATGGAAGTACAATTGACATATTTATTTAAAAATTGTTTATCTGTGTTTTCAATTAGATGATGAAGATAATTATGCCAATTTTGAAAACTCAAAGATTTTCAAAAGCTGACACAGGAGGATATTAAGAATGTTATTATTAAAAGACTTACAAATTTTAAAGCAAGCAGCGTGTTATTATCAAAAAAGAAAGTTGGTGACAACAATGAAAATGAACGCTTTAAAGCAGCATGTCTCCAGATTCATGCACATTTTCATGAAAATTTTGAAAATGTTTTTAATAGTAGAATATTGTGAAGTGAACAAAGAAAGTAATTTACACATTGTTATCCGCACTTACAATCCACATAAATTAAGTACCAAGAAGGGGTCCAAATATGCAAAAACAGCCCTTAATTACAGCGTTAGTAACGCAGTAGAATTATGGTGATGCATATACTGCTCAATCAGTCAATAAAATCGAACGTTACATGTAAATCATTACTTGAATCTTAAATGGTTGTACTTGTCTTAAAATCTTATTACACTTTTCTCAAGTTAGATTTTCTTTTAATATTGTTGTTCATCTGCATGGAGGCATGCATCTTTATGCAAGAAGCAGGGAGAGAAGTTCTGTGTTAAGAAGAAGAACAAAAAAGAATGTGAACAAAACAAGTTCATTACAATCATCATGTGATAAGACGTCACTATCGGACAGTGGAAAATCAGATGGTGAAGTAATAGAGAAGACAAAAGGGGAGCAAAGGAAGAAAAGAAGCAAATTGACAACAAGACGAAAAACTGAGACTGTGAAAAATTTTGCTAAAAACGCGACGTGCCGAGTCAATTCCTGGTAGACAAAACAGGTGATAACAATGATGAAGAAGATTCGTTACAGACAAAATGTGAAAGGGAGCAAAAAATCACAAAAAGGTTAGAAATGTCAGGGAGTGAATCAAGCCAGGGTCTGAAACTACATCATGGGCTTTGTGAGCTGGAAATATTAATTCACCAAATAAGTACAAAGCTTCTACTAATCCTTCATCGCTCATCATCCCCAGCACGAGTGACTATTTACAGCTAGGTTTCTTTTCCTCGGGGGAAAACTTTCAAAATCTACATTTAAAAAATATCTTATTTTCCCCTAAATTAAAGGGAACAGCCCCTTCCCCTCCCTAATATTAGTATGTCGGTGCAATGTTGTTTATAAAAAGTATTCCAACTTTTGTTGTTGTTTTTTTGTTTCCATATTGATTGTTTTTTGTTGCTTTTCCTAGTGTGTGTTTCAGTATTTTAATGTTTAGTCATATTTCTGTTTAATTATGTTGTTATTTGACAATAATTAAGTGGACAGAAAGCACATGTAAAACATTAATATATGAAGTTAATTGTACAGGTATAATTGAATATCTTCATATTTTACAGCTCAACAAGCAGATGTCTTTTTTTCAAAGCCTTTGGGGAAGCCAGATGTTCAGTCATACATAAGCTCATTTATGTACTTTTATCATACTTCAGACGCTGATGCCGCAGAGGTTAGTAACAAGTGTATCACTTTTTCACAATAACAGGTGATCGAACTTTCAGACTTCAAGAACTGAATACATTGTCAATATTCTTGGCAGCTCATGATATAACCCTAAATGATTAATATTAACTAATGAAGCAGTAACATGTTTTACTAACACATTTAGTACCAACAGTGGGGCGCCCGTGGCCGAGTGGTTCAGGTCTTGAAATCAAACCACTTTTTAAACAATAGTCTCCATCATATTTTTAGTTTCAAATGCCTCACTCATCAACGCAACATCAATTAGTGAACAGACGGCAACTATCATTCTCTGTATTAAAAACTCCACAATCTACATCGCTGAAGTCTCAAGTATTTGGTCATTGGAACCAAACATTTAATCAGACATCAAGTGAAAGCCCAAAACCTTAAATGTCACAATCTGAGGCAACTGCAAAAGCCTGATTCTTGGCAAATTAAAATTGTTTGAAAGATACAATTTTCATGTTTTTCTAAATCAAAAATTTGCTTTTATTGATTCTTATGCTAACCAGAATCCGCCTAAGAGGAAAACTTTGCATATTTCAAGCTCTAGTCTCACTAAGGTCAGAAATACGCTTTATAGTACACCAAGATGGAAACCTCTTATTCATGGGAAGCTTTTTCGTACGTGTACTGTTTAAACAAAAATGCATTCTTTAAAGTTATAAATTAACAAAGTTTCAATATACTGTTGGATCATTTATTTATACAAATATACAAGTTCATATACATAGCACATGGACATACAAAAATGCATTTAAATCTGTCACTTTTAGGCGAAAATGTTGAATGTACAGAATAATTTATTATTGTATATTTTGAGTGAGAAATATTCTCTGAACATTTCAATAGGATTCAAATAATTAAATAATTCAGGAAACAAATCATTGAGAAAAATATACAAATAAACAAGTGTTTAGCAAACTCAAATAACAAGTGATCAGCAAACTATCAAGAATAAATAATACTTGGTATTGTAGAGGACTCTAGAAGTGAGGGTTGCAGGGGGTTATCATTACAGTTACCGTCATACAGCAATTTTACAGTTTTTATCATTAAAACTCAATGTTCAGTCATGGAATATTCAAGAAATTCAAAGTTTCCGATAGGTTTAAATTTCAAAATGCTCATTCCGGTTGAAAACACTACTAGGCAATGCCGGGACAGCTATGGAGACACCCCATCCCATTTGCTCCATCTTTTTTATGCCTATTGAATGGACATCATTAAACTTTTTATATCTGTATTTTTAAATTGAATATTGGGGAGGTAACTAGAATTGCCAGTTGGAACTACCCAACAGGTTGCTTCTAGTAAGATCTTAATTTGATTTATAGATAAGGACTTCAAATATAAATATAATCAAACCATATAATTTAGAAAAAAAATTCACCATTCATCCTTTAAAACTTTTTAAAAAATAAACACATTTAAAACATTTAAAAAGAATGTACATTTTTTTCAAATGGTGATATTCATTACCAACATCCTCCCGCTTAAGTTTTCTTTTGCTTAAGTTTCATATAGACATCTCACTGTCTCGAAAAATTATTTCATATAGTAAAATGTAAATGAATAATCCGAATAAAATATAATTCTGATGGCTGCAATGCTTACATAAAATAGCATCCACACAGAAAATTGCTCTTTTTTGTAAGTCAGATATAAGACATTTATTTCATTTCTCAGAAATCAAGATTGAAATCAATAAAATTTCATCCAAACTTTGTAATACTAACTTATAATTGTCCTTGTCCTGCAGAATTTATTTAAATGAGTATTATCAACTTTGGGGATATCAAGATGAAAATTTAAAGTCAGTCAGCAAGCAGTATTGAGCCTGGTCAGACTACACATATAATATGCAGACTGGCCTGGCATAATACTGATGGCCCTGGTTTAATCACTTTCGGTTACAGCAGGATAATGGCTTTTTTAATCAGTCATTCACAAAATACTAATACACATGCTGAATGGTTAAACAATATTAAGTATCTGTTTAACCTATGATAAGAAAATTATAGTGCAGAATAATAAATGTACATATTTATAATATTATAACTCAATGACTAGCATTTGCTGTATAATGGAGAACAACAAAGACAGGACAGGACTCGAATATTTCACACAACAATATTAAAACCACAGATTCCTTGTTGCCCTGACTATTTAAGATCAGCATATCAATAGGAAGCACAAATATAACGTGACAAAAGTTGTGCGATTTAAAATAATATCAAGAAATGTGGAACGACACATATGCCCCCTTTATAGCCCTTGACTCATATTATTGGTAATATTGTTAGAGAAACTTGCCATAAATGTTAACACAGAAGTGTTCAATTATGGAAGAAATAAAAAATAATGAAGACTTTGCGATAAAT